GTGCTAAACTATACGAGAAAGATCGGGGGAACGGCGTTTCGATCCCCAATCTCAGGCGCTCGATCTAGCGGGCTCTTTTCTTATTCGTGATACTCCCGAACCAAGAGGATTCTTTGGTCCTGGGTGAGCTGATCTTTGAAAACGGTGTCGCGGTTTCCCGTGAGCTAGACTAACGCCACCAAAAGCCAGCACCCTCTGGAATGTTGGGGCGGGATGATCCAGCCGCCGTCTCAGCTCTAGGCCTCTAGGCCCTCCCGAAAGCGAGAGACACTTTACCACTTGCGGCGCGAGAAGGAGGGAAGAAGAAGCAATGACTGCTTGACCCAAAGTCTTACGTCTAGAGCCGATTTGTTGCCTGCTGCCCTTCTCACTCGTTCCCATCGATCGAAAAGAAAAGGGTGGCACGGATGGGAATTTCCCTTGCTTTTGTCGTGCGCCTCCATTGACTGCATGCGTCCAAGGCGCAACCTCTTCTCGCAGCCACCGTCCATCGTCGACCACAGCCGCCAGCCGTCAGCTACAGCTACAGCTACAGCCCGCCCAAGAATGTAGGTAGGTGCCACTGTCTTGTGATTGTTTCTTTCTCAGCCCAAATGCCAAGGAAAGCGAATCGAACTGCCTCGCTGCCAACCGTGCTTTGAGACATTTTGGGGTCAAGATCCGGCTTTCTTCGATGAGAGTCTTTGATCTTTATCTTTATAAGGGATGGCTAGTCCCCCCACAAGCCCCCTAACCCCCCGCGAGCCTTACACACCCTTCCACGTCGCACAACCCAAGGGAGAGAGGACCCCTAGACCCAGGCTTTGGAGAGACAGGAGAAGAGAGAGACAGAAAGAGAGAAAGAAAGAGACACACACGCCCATAAGTCAAATATCAAGAAGCTCTTTTTGAGCGCGGATCGCGCGTTCCATCCATACGCCCAACATGGATCCTTTACCACAGTTATCGCCCGAGCAGTTGCAGGAGGATAAGTCGCCCCTGGTCCTGGGAGTGATATCGATGTGCCTCTTCATATCAACGGGCATATTGATCCTGCGACTCTGGACCCGCTTCCACATTGTCAAGAGAATTGGTATCGACGACTGGGCTGCCGCTTTCTCGTTGGTAAGTTCGAACCAAAGGTTGCAAACCGTGGCAAAGCCTTCGTGGTGTGTTGATGGAAAAGCTGACTGTGGTAGATATCGGTATTAGGCGTCGGTCTTTCGCAGGCAGTGAGTGAGTTTTTTGCCCATTTCAAGTTGCAATATGCGAGTTGAACACTCCAGACTAATCGGCGACAGTGACGCGGTATGGTCTCGGGAAACACCAACAGACGGTTCCACCAGAAGAAATGATTGGGTTCATGAAAGTAAGCAGTCTTGCCCCAGAATCATATCAAACCCGCTCTGACAAATTCAACCGCTTTAGTGCTTTTGGGTATCTGTTCTCTTCTACAGCCTAGGACACTTGTCATTCAAGATGGCATTCTTGCTCCAGTATTATCGCGTACTGGTCACCCACTATATGAAGAAGTACTACATCGCAGCCATGATCTTCGTAGGGGCTTGGGGGCTTAGCGTTGTGATCATCTCCTTTATATGGTGTATTCCCCTTGAGGGCTTTTGGGACCACTCAGTACCGGCAAAGTGTCTTCCTCAGCAAGTCCTATTCTACCTCTTCGGGGCCTGCAGTATCGTGACGGACGTTCTCATTTTCCTGCTGCCGCTGCCGGCGCTGATCCAGCTCAAACTTCCGAGGACTCAGAAGCTGTACCTGCTTGGCATCTTCAGCCTCGGATTCCTGTAAGTGTTTCGGCTATTGCGATACTGTCATACTCGAGTTCGACTGACTGAGTTTTTCTCTCCTTCTAGCATCGTCGGCATTTCCGTCTTGCGCCTCCAATTCCTGAAGATCAATCCAGACTTCACCTACTGGAACGTGGAGCCCGCCATGTGGTCCCTCGGCGAGCTTTCAGCGGCAATGGTATGCCTTTGCCTGCCTCCTCTCAAAGCCCTCGCAGCCCGCATGGGCCTGCTTGTCACCAGGACGGGGACTTCGAGGACTGTTCCCTCGACGGTCGACCGACACAGCCGCAGCCCGGCGTCCAACGCGCCGCTCTCGCCCATTCCCAAAGCGGTTGAGACATACACGACAAACTCTCCGAGCGAGAAGCCCGGCAGCTTTGGTAACTACGTGGTGGAGACGGAGCGCAGCGAAGAAGTGATTCGGCCGAGCCCGGCGCACATGGTATAACAATGTACAACAACATGGGACTTTTGGAACCTACAACTTTATGAAATAATGCATTCGGAAGGCGCCATCAACAAATTGGGGTTATCTCTTCCGGGACTGGCTGAAATTTGGGTAAATGTAGCATTGGGAGTTTGGGCACATCAGGATACCACCAGACCATGAGTCACAACAGACATTGATAGTAATAATACCATAAATCACTTTCTCCAAGACGACTTGAAGCTTGAAACTGTAGCTTCAGATGGCTTGATGTCAGCAAGACGGCCTGGAACTTAGTTGTTAGCGGGTTACCTCGGCCAACATTTGTCACTGATAAGTACCTACCGCTACTACATTCATGTCGACGGGGCGACGAAGGATGACATCCCGTACGGTACACAACATCAGCTCTACGACGCTTGCGCTAAGGCTACTCGCACAACCTAGTGTTGGAGATCTGCTTAGTTCGACTTTGTTGCCGCCGCCAAGTGGGACATGGTGGTGAGCCTCAATCTTTAGATTCACTTACACACCAGCAACAGCGGCCGTAGGAAACTAGACAACGACTCTTACAAAATTTACGACCAGTGCGACCCTTGGTGGAATCCATCTCCACATTGGTCTAACCGGCAGAATTTTGCCGAAAGAAAGCTCCAGCTTACGTCGAAGCCTGATCCAAGCCTTTGCAGCTTTGCACCGTTTGCGGGTCCCAAGGGGTGCTCCACTGGCGAGCAAGGACATCCTGGATTCCCATTGATTTCTTCCAATTTGGGTGATTGTATAGTGTCATTGAAATCGCTCAAGTCCGGTGGTGCTCCCATTCGGAAGTCGTAGCAATTCACGCGTCATGGCCACTGTCTCGTTCACTATTCATTGTACAGAAGGCCTTGAGGATAAGGCAGGTCAAAACTTGGGTTAGAAAAGTTCAGAAGCTGTGATAAGACGGAGTAAATTTTAAACGGATCCATTGAGCGCTGGCTGCCTCAATTTTCATACAGGTGCGCAAAAAAGCCAAGTACATGTTTGGTGGCTTACAAGTTACAACTTGCAACTGCTGAGATGAAACTGAGGCCAAGGTCCAATTCAGGGCCACCTCTATCCACTGCTTTGGATTTTTAATGGCCCAACCCGATCTCGTATTACACGGTAAGAAGCAAGATAATAATTCTAAATTAGGGTGTCAGTCATGGATCTCAGATATAGTCTCAATTGGCGACAGAGCAGGGAGTTTGACTCGTCTTCACGTTCCAGAACGCAAAAGAATCCCCATTCAAAGCAACCTCCCGCATCTTTCGGAGTTTTTAATCTATTTTTTTTTTTCTAACTTTCGGCGAAATTGAGATAAGGAGAATGGAACAGCAGGCTTGGAGAGAACAAAATATTCTGTAACCATATGCTGAACTGAAATTTTTCCTCCAAAGAATTGCTGCCTTGATTGGACCTACAGATCTTGAACACACTCTTGTAGCTTTCAGTCTCTCCCGTCTCAACCAACTGTTTTGATTAAATTGGCGTGCTTGATCTACTTCTCTCAAACGCAGAATCTGAATCATTGCAGTGACAGCTCAGTACACAATCTGTCCCAAAGTTGCTCAACACATCGTCCCACTCCTGAATAGTCTGATACACATGCCTCAGCAGCTTTCGCAGGTAAAGACCGTGGTGGCCTCTCGCAGCGGAATGGTGAAAGGAGCAGCCGGTCACGTAATCAAAGCCACCACGACACGTAAACAAGATCAAATATCCGTGAGTCATCTCATGGATCAGGAGCTCAACGATTTGCGCAATCGTCCACGTTCCTGCAGAGTCAATGTCAATGTCAACGCTGGGGAGCGAGCCAGCATGCTCCTTGACCACCTCCACGTGCGAAGCGCTGCCTTGTTCCTGGCAGACCTCGTTATTCTCCCGAATACACACTTTGAGATGCGCCTGCACGATGCCCGTTCGTCGTCGACGCGCCGTAAGCCATCCTCTGAAAAAGTAATGGTCGAGCAGAGACGCCACCCTGATAATGTGAGCATAGTGACTTGGGTCTCGATTGTTATAGAGTTCATGGAATCCTTCGATTAGTGCATGCTTTAGTTCATCGTGATGTTCTAGGTTGGTGTAGGAGCCCAGGGCTTGCCCGTTTTCGATCGTGTTGGCGACTAGATCTGGAAGGCGATATGTGCCGTACTGACCTGGTAGCTCAGGTCCAAGTCCATGCCAGTGGACAATGCAGGAACATAGTTCAGAAGGATTCGGAGGGCGCGGTCGTTGGGCTTCCATGTTTGGGGCAATATCTTGACAGTTTTGCCCTCTAGTCTCTGGCGGCGTCGAAGTAGACCACTCGCAAGCCGGGCAGAGACCACAGCCGGCGCAATATAAGCTCGGTGGGCTTGAAGCCTAATCATATTGAGTTGCGAACGCTGTCTATGTACAGTCCTTGATTGGTATCTATGCCTAGAGACTAGAAACAAAGTGCCTCTTTGTCAAGGACTTGAGGTATATGCCGTATCAAACTCTATGTGCTCAACAGATAAAGAACGAACAATACACTTCAGTCATCTACGTTTTGCTCACATTTGGCGACTCAGTGTCTTTGTATTTGTTCTTTCTCTTCGACTTTTCGAGTTGAGCCTCCTATGCTCCAGATACCTCGTAATTGGACCATCGCATTCGAGTTACTTGACACTTTACTAGATCACACCGGCAAATAGAAGCAGACACTTCTGTAAATAAATGCTGTTCATGCTTTCAAACGTTTCTAGAAAATAGAAATCTCCATTTCCACACCCCACCACGACCTCTTAATGTTTCTGCTTCATTCTTGCCACTTCCTCCTGTGACCCAACGCCTACAAGTGCAGTGCCCTCAACCGCCATTTGAGTATACCCATATCTTAACCTTCGATTTTTCAACATCCTAGCGAGATCAATGCCGTCCATTCTTCCAGCTTCAGGAGAAATATCCATATATTTGGAATCCCGCACGACAGTCGACGCATATCCCAGAATCTCCGGCCCGTGAACAAAGTGCGTGACAATAGCACTTGTCAAACCTCCTAGGAGAAGCATAATACAAGACAGAATATACAGGCCCATCCATAGACCAGGGACGTGGAAGACCTCCACCAAGGTCTCGACGTCGACGCCAACAGTGGAATTGGGCTCAAATGTGGCATTGACATCTACGCTTCCACTGGGGGCGTTCGAGAAAGCTTGGCTGAGGAAAACGTACGAGTTGACAAGTTGCGCAAGCCGGTAACCAAAGTCCTTTGGTTTGATGCTCGCCAGCTCCGGCGGCGTATTTGCACCAGTCATGGTGATCGAGGATGGGTTCTCGAGGTAGTTCAAGGAGATATCCGACGTGTAGCTTGAGCCAAAGTGGTTTGTTGCTTGAGGCAGCTTTCGCGAGACGTAGCGGAAGACTCGTGTAAAGGACAATTGGGAGATATTCTCATCGGCGTGGGTCTTTTGAGAAGGGCGCTGCGCCACGACACTACAACTCTGTCGAGCGGTGGAAGGAGAAGAGTCTCGCGAGCAACGCACTCTTGACTCGACATATTTCTGTGTGACGCCGCAGCGAGACGTCGTGTAATCTGGTGGTCCGCGGGAACTAGTCTGCTCCCTCGCTTGGAAGAGTAAAGTCGTCCGGTTAGCCACCACTCCCTTCTCATTTGTAAATACGTTGGGGCGGTTGGAATCCTCGACCCTGAGCCCGCGCTTGCTGTACCAGTCGTAGTCATTCCACTGCGCATCTACAAAGTTGTCAAGCGCGAGGTTCCATCCTGACATGCCGTCTGACGAGGTTGTCTGGTTGAGGTTCCAACCCTGCCAGGTCCCGTTGGCGACGGTTCTGCAGCGGTCGGACATACAGAGCGAAGTTTCGTTGAATATGACGGCTGTGGCGAACGAAGGGCCGGATTGGGTATCGTACGAGAACGCTGAAACGCTGATATTGTCACATGCGAAGTGCATGTAGCTCGATTCCAGCAAGATGGTTGTGTTTCCGTCAGCGACGTGCGTGATGGGAACGCCGACGAGAGATGAAAACTCTAGCTTCTCTTTATCTGCTGGAACGTCTTGCCATTCTGTTGTCTCAAAATCACCGTACGACGATAGCGCCGGGATCTTGACGTTTCCCCAGACATCCATGGAATCGCTCTTTACGGCATCGGGACTGAGAATCAGAGCATTGTACATGGCATTGACAATGGACATCCGATTGATGTTATACGCGTAGCTCGTCGGCGAAGCATCTGACCAGGATGCAAACTGGGACCGGGCATCAGTGTCGAAATAGACGACGCTTGAAGGAGTAACCACGCTTCGAGGTCGGGTTTCGAGCATGCGCAAGACGGATTGGCCGCCCAGAGGCGAGAAGATCCATATCAGAATGAGTGATAGCGTCAGGAGGTTGACGGCCCGAAGCTGGATATGAATCAATAGCGTGCCACCGACAGTCCGGCTTCCCATCAATTGCTCCAACGCTTCCATAGTGGCGCCCCTTTCGAGTTTCCAACGGGCGATTTGGGACATGAGACGGCCTATGATAGCCGCGAATATTATGGGGAAGAGGGTAGCAAGCTGGAAGAGTCCATGTCAGTATTGAACTGTGAAACAGGATACTCGTATGATAAAGAATACGTACAATGGTGACTGCATTTCGATATTGTCCAGCAGAGGCCTCGTCTGTCTCGTGCCCATTGATGCTCAACACCAAGAAGGCAAAGATAAGAAACCCAACCGGGAGTATGACCGCACAGATATCAGTCAGGATCACGAACGGCGTCCAGCTGACCTTCTGGAAATCATGTGCGGCATCGCTGCCCTTGCCGCTGTCGCTACGGGCCGTCGCCGAATTGCCGTCATCCGGGTTCTGCAATGGCTCGTAGATCGAGTTGCCGCGACTCGTCGTTTCTCGAACAATGGGTTCTTTGAGCGTCTTCCTTGTCTTATCTGTGCCTTCCAGAGCCGGATTTGCAATCAAAGGACGTTGTTCACGCGGTGCGTCTGGTGAATTCATCTTGGCCAATCGAAAACCAACTCTTGCATTTGTAAAGGAGGCATTTGCACAGCAAAATGAGGTGCCAAAGGTCGCAAATACATGAATTCTGTAGAATGTGCTGTTTTCTTTTTGGGACTCCACTGAACAGGCAACAGAATAAAAATATTGGTGAGAACCTTGGAGGTGTAAGACGGAGGAGATCATGCATGAGACATTGCGCTAGCATCAAAAACCCCTGGCTAAAATCGCCAAAGACGGACGTCTTGGCGGTCGGCTGAAAAATGACCACCCTGTCCGTGGTTCCATTGGCTAAGTGAGCTATGTTTAAATTGGCGACTTGCAACGGGATATGCTGGCGGCTGATTATAAAGATGCAGGTTGAGAAAGACGACAAGTTCTGAGGCGGTGTAATGGCCTAATGCGGGTTGGTAGGAAGATGACGAACGAGTGACTGCTTCTTAGATCTACGACTTGTTCAGATGGGCTTTGTCAAAAGACTCAGAGACGAATGGGAAAGAAGCCATGAGTCAACCACCTCTACAGGCTCCTTCGGATCGCCCAAAAGCAAGATACTTCGTTTGCAATGGGCTGGTACCTGAGGCCTCCCGCTCATCCCAATTCGCCAAGGCACTCGCACGCATACATCAATCCATTAATTTGCAAAGTGTGGAAATTCAGTAACCGCTTAGTTCCCGTGGATTTCGGGATGGCTGCTAAGTCTTTTGAGCGATAGGATGCAATGGTTATCGACTAAGTAGTAACTAGAAGTAGCAATTACAAGTCAAGCGGCTAGACTAGTTTCCATACCCGGTAAAATTACGAAACTCAAGCTTGTCAAGTAAGTTATATCTCACTCAGATCGTCGCTTATGACAACCAAGTAGTTACAGGGTTGAGATGATTCTTGAGAAGAAGTAAGAATTGAGTAAATGGAAGATAAAGCCTGAGACAGTGTCCATTCAGATGGTGTGTTGAATAAAGACCAGTTGCTGAGCCTGATGTCGATGTTTGATATGATCTTGTAATTCTTGTCTGTAAGTGAGGTAGATTGTCAATCCCCTTCATTACGATCTCGTAGAAAAGCCACCAAAGTTAGAAGCAAGACGCCCGACTATCAAAGGTGATGTAATAAGTGACGCAAAGACACTCTTTGCAAGCGAACAAGTTCAATAGCGATTGCTCGCTCTACCATTTCCAGTACCCAACGCCAAAAACAAAAGGCTTGTTCACACCTCACCAATTACATAGGCTTCGCAGCGAGCCACCAAACACGCTGCCCCTTGCTCCTCGACGAGATCCTATCCCCCCTCTTCCACAACTCCAGCCCAAAGTCCTCATACGGATGAATAGACTCATCAGTTAACCCAAAGTCCTGTAACTCCGGCACCCAACTCTGAATCTGCCCCAACACAGCCTTGAGTACTGCAACAAACGCAAGCCCATGGCCCCCGCCATCAGAGTCACGGTGCATAATATCAAAATCCACATCGCACTTATCTCTCCGACACGACAGCAACAAGAGGTATGCGTGCACCATTTCGTGAACAGCAACCTGCACAATCTCCCTGAGTGGTAGCGGCTTGCCGGTACCGGTGGTAGTGGTGGTGGTGGTGCCGTCATCGCGGTGACGGACCGTGCTCAGGCGGATGACGATGCTGGGGGCCCCGGGCCTACTAGCCCGCAGCGGCTGCGTCCAACCCACCCTACCCCGCGTTTGTCCGACTTCTAGAAGGACGGGGTGCGATACGTGGTTGATCTGGGGTGTCGGGAAGAGCAAGCCTAGGAAGCAGAGATCGTCGATTGCTTTCATGATGGAGAAGACGGTGCTTGCCGAAGTGACTTTGGGACTTGTTTCGGTGCCCTTGTCGACTAATACGCGGGCGACGGTGTTCTTTAGTGACTTCTCGGAGGCGGACCATGGGATCGGCCCTAACATGGATTCGGATAGAGTAATTGCAATGTCGTTGATGTTGTAAGACCGTGGTTGCGGTAAGTGATCATCCTTGTGCGGTTTCCGCGAGTGATGTTGGCACTGTTGTGGTAGAAACCTGGCCCGCTTCGATTCCGCCATGTCAAGTTGTAGCATAGTTGGCGGGTGGACAATCTTCCTTTCCTCCTTGTCGGTTCAAAGAAATATTTCTCAGCGAGCCGTCATGTCGCTTTCATGTTCGTTTTGTAAACACTTACTCGCCATCCCGTCCCGACGGCGCTTGGGTGCGTCTGTTTGGTACAACGGTCAACCGTCGCGGCCCAAGCACGCATCCCCTCACCTCAGAGCGTTTACCAAGAGAGGCGCATGGTTTCAAACCGGGTGCTCGGTCAGCCAGTTTTCTCACCGTCGGCGATGTCGCAGAGTGAGAAGGGAGTTTAGACTGCCTCATAGCGGTGTTCGAAGCCGTGATGGCGTGGGCAACAGTCAGCGCGACTGGTCGGCAGCGAACGAGTGATAGTGTGACAGCTTGGTAAAGTTGCCATGCTACGCAAGGCTTTGAAATAACAGATCTAGATGAAGAGGGTTATAGAAGGATGGATTACAATGTGTTATGATAGTCCTTCCGCCGACCCATGATAATGCACCTGTAGGAACCCGACGTGGGTAGAAACACCCCCCAAAATTGTATAGTAAAACACCGTCGCCATGCTTAATATGATTCGCCGCCTAATGAGACCATTTCGCCATAAGATCCAGACAAAGAGAATAACGTGCTATACACATGTGGGAGACGCATTTCGGCATCCCCTAACGTATGACGGGATGGCCTGCTGTGGAGCGTTGTCGTAACCCAAGACGACAATCCCCCCTCGGTCATCAATACGGGCCCATTGCCCGTCGTATGAGTCATAAAAGTTTCGTTCGTGGGCAGATGACTGCCTGCTGGAAACATAATTGCCAGGGAAGAAGAGTCGGCCACGTGTCTCGCGGATCTCACCTTCTTCAAGTGGCTCCACTTCGTCGTAGTCTTCCTCAGTCGTCGTTATGGTCGTAGATGTGGGACTGCTCTCCCTGCTGACTGGAAAGTACTCGCGATGGTCATTGATGTGATACTCCCATCGTTCCTGAGATCTATATCGAGACCTCTCGTAAGTCTGGTTGTCGTGGTATGTGTGGTGACGGGGGTTGAGGTGCTCTTGAAAGGCGGGGAAGTTGTGTCTGCAGGGTCTGCCCATACGGTGCACATCGCCTTCAGGAACATGGTCTTCGTCCTCACGGAAGTGGTCCAGATCCGCCTCCATGTTCCGTAGGTGCAAGTTGTCCGGCCCAGCCCAAAGATCAATGAGCTCCGCAATCCGTCGAAAGCCAGCGGTATGACCGCCACATTGACGAGCCTTAACGCCGCATTTGATAAAAAGGTAGCTATGAATGAGCTCATGTAAGAAGGTAGAGATGAGAAGTCGTCGGTTGTACTGCTTGTCCTTCAAGATTGGGTTCGATAAGACAATGAGAGTCTCGAAGCCTCCCATTTTAGAGCGTCGAAGGGCTGTAGTACCGATGATGTGGTCCATGTACTGGGCGCTAGATGCATGGGACCAATCCCAAGTGACGCGCTGTGATAGACTGTTGTGAAAGAAGATCTCGTTTGCGGCGGAGAAAATGCTTTCCAGCGCATCATTATCGATGGAGAACTCGGCATGCCGAGATCGTGGTCGGATGAGTGATCTCAGGATTCGTTCATGCTGAGAATCCTTGGTACGACGTCGGCAAAGCTGCAACCGATTTTCGACAAGGCTAGCCGCAACATCGTCGTCGAGTAGCCTTAAATCGTCCTCGCTGGCGGCGCTGTAAATGTCTGTATCGGACGAGATGGACAAGCCAGAGGCGGTGCGCTCCATTTGCGATGAGGTGACATCGGCTTCAGCCGGCTCGGGCGTTGGCGATGTTTGTTCTCGGATTACTAAAAAGGACAGATTCTGAACGGGAATCGATCCCCGCGGTGGACAAGCAGAATCCGAGTCGGACGGGAAATGTGATACACGGGCCCTTTTCTGGAAGGGCATGTCGTCGTGTGCGTACTCAAAGTTGCTGTCGTAGATGTCGCGCTCATCAGCGTGACCAATCCTCCTTTTGCCACCCACAACGTAGAGATCGGAATTGAGGACGTGGCCATCACCTTGGGAAAGTGGCCTTGCCTCCCCGCCGACCACCCAAAACGCCATTGAACATTCTTGAGATATTGCAAAATGGAAGGAAAGGGCGAAAATGGTGGGAAAGGGCAAACCTCGGGAGGTCGGAGGTGTGATGAAGTGTGGCAGGCCGGGGGGGGCTCAAGGTGAAATACGGGCGACCACTGTTGGTATGGGTGTCATGTGCGCCGGAACCGCATTAAAGAGGCCGGTGGAGAAGGATGCCCGGCGCCGGCGGCTGGAGGTTGCGTACGGCAACTAACGAGGAATGGATAGCTCGGGAGGACCATGTAAAAGAAACGAAACAAAGGTTCAGTTTCGAGGCACGACGAAGTGAGGCGAGGGACAGGCACAGCAGGACGATTTCTGAGAGCCAGTCTGTTCTGCTGGACAGACATAGCTGCATGGAGAGACCCAGCTCAGGGCAGGACAGCGTTGCATGGCCCGTCTAGGCCCCCCTTGGCTTGCTCATCTGCAGAATCCCAACCAGCGGGACGAGGGCGACTCGAAGCAACCGAGAGGTTTGGGTGGACGGGAGCCGGGCAGCGGACACCGTCGTACGAGCGGTGTGAGGGAGCTAAGACGGATATGCGTGTGCGGCGTTGCGCATCGCAGATTTAGTGCGAGGTCCATCGCTGCCATCCCCCGACCGGTGCAAGGAACGTGGCGTTTCCAGGCGGGTTGGCGTTGGAACTCGACGAACCTACACAGTAAGCTCTGGGTACGGATAGACTTCCCAACCTTGTCCACCGCTGCTATTGCCCGCCTCAACTGTGAGATGGTGCTTGTCAGGCAAGACATTGATAGTGCGTGCATGCATATGATGATATAGCGGGCAGGGTAAGGTTATGCTGCTGTCTCGAGTTGTGTGCAGCAACAATACCTAAACAGACGGTCAGCTCGACCGCTTCCTCTTTCTCGTCCAGTCTCACCCACGGTGTAAGGTATGAGGGTGTGGAAGTGTATGCACACGGAGTATAGGTATTGCCCTCTGCGTGCGTGTATGTATCCGTAGCCGCCAAACAATGGGAATTGCGAGTCCGCCCCAAGTCGATGGTTCGCCGACTGCACACGGGATTGGAAGAAAGATCCCAGGTTGAGGCATGCGAGGGCGGTGGGGTTCGTGACAGGTGGGCGAAGCCATCGGGGGAGGAGGCGAAAAAGTCGAGGACGAGGGAGCGGGTGTTCATCAAGATCTGGATTCGGCAAAGGGGCTGGAATTTTGCCGCCCATGATTGGTTCTGCAGCCTCGGTCTCAGTCGCTCATTGGTTGCCTCATCTCCGTGCATCTGTCCCTCCCACGTCGACTGTCGTCGCCTCCTTTTAATGAGGCTTTCCAACCCTCGGTTTTTCAAGAAATTGCCATCCACTGAAGCAACCGCCCAGCCGCTCCTTTGCTGTTTTGTTGCTGTCGCCGACTTGACAACTTGTCCATCATCCATGCCGGCTCGGCGAGACCCACGGAACATCCTCCGATGCAAACCCAGTCGGAAGGCAAGGGAGACCGTGACCGGGAATCTGACTCCTGCACCTCGTCCAGTCGGGCCTGCGTACTGCATCCAGACAACACTCCTTGGCTGCGCCGCGCTGCGCTGCGATGCTATGCTATGCGATGTGTTTGCGATGCACCAAGGATTCCGACAAAATATTGTTGATGCATCAAGCAACAAAACAGCGACCACCCAGGAAACGAGGGTCCATTTGATTGACAGCGGCATTTGCTGGTGCATACGTGACACTCGGGGACGAAACAATGCTTTTCGCCCTGTCTTCGTCAGGGATGTGTCCCGGTCATTGAATTCGGTGCCGATCTTTGCTGTCTCAGCCGGTGTTTTTCAGGATCTTGCTTGTTCGCCTCTCCATGTCCACCAAGCAAAAGTCCAAGTCCAACCGAAGAACGATGTAATCTCGCAATGCTGGCTTATGAGGCCCGCAACACATTGACTACTTGCGCCTGTCAATCTTGATTTTTCGGTCTTCTAGGCTCGGACGAGACGAGCACAGACTGCGGGCAGGTCGAACTCTATCTGCTTGACTCTTCTCTGCGGCTTCGACGAGACTCCATGGAACCTATATCCCGACTTCCCCTCTTGGTAGAAGTGGAGAAATTGGAGGTCTTCGTCACTTTGGGGGATGATGCTGTGGTGCCGTCCCAAGAACATTAATAATTCGATGAGGGGGTGCGTTTCGTCTGCCGTCGATCGGTTGCGCACTAGCAGCTCGATTTCCACGATCAGCAGAAATCGCAACGTACACTCCTCCGCCAAGTTGAAGCCGATGGGACGCACGCTTCGACTGGACATCGTGAGTTGGACTCGGAAACCCCCAAAATGGTAGATGATGGACGGAGGGATACCAAGGTCTCGGGTGCTGCGTTGCCGATGCACTAGATGGTCCCTGAAGGCTGACAGACCCTGAAAATATTGAGGCGCTCAGCTCGTCGCAGATATCCTGGAATACCTTCATCAATGCCAAGGTGTATGAGCTGGTAGCAGTGGATTCGGCACAGACATGCCGACACACGGATGATAGAAGAAGGAATCAAAGCAATGGCCATCTGGAGGCTGGCTTGCCTTGTCAGAAGGAGGAAGTCCAACAGGGTCCATTGACAGGGGGTTCATCATAAGGTGCCTGGGCACTGTCTTATCGCTTATCTTTATCACCTATCGCCGACTTGGTAACTAACGGTTTTGGGTCTAGGCCATGGGAAAATAAGTGGATCTGCGAACGATTCGGTCGTGCCTGCTTCATCTAACGACATCTCGTTCCTTCCTTACAGCATAAGAGTCCGCGATACTTCACGTTGCCCGCGCAACAGATGCTCGCACACTCGCCATCAAACCTCACACACATCCTTTTTCGATTCTCTGTCTGAATATCTATTGAACTCCATGGCTTCTGTCTACTTACGGTAGTCAAGCAAATGACTGGATAGCAGCATACGTAACGGCTGGGCTGGGCGCATTTCTTTCTTGGAATTTTGTCTTCTCCGTATGGGTACTTGTGAGTAGCCTGGCATCTACAAAATTTTGCAGCTATACCATGCCTCTCGTCATAGTTTTAAGCTAGAATATATGCGGCATTCATGTTCAAATGTCGTTTTTCCTTCCTCGATACTGTTCACACGCTGGTGGTTCAACTATGGGATAGAAGATACACTCGAGACCGTTTGTTACCCATGTTCGTGATGTGGACTCAACATTCTCATGACTTATGAGTTCTCGCAATCCTCATCGTCATGCTAATGTTGCTCCTGGCTGAAAACGTAAGTACAAAACGGATCCGCGTAGACGATGTAGTAAACCTCGAGACCAACTTGTATGGGACCATGAGGTGTACTATGCTAAACGGATGATAACCTGAAATATCTTATTGCCAATGCCAAATATGAAAATTCAAAGCCTTGTCTTGAGGTTTGGGAAAGAAAAAAGATAGAGCATCCTCGTCGCCTGATTGCCTCGAAGGGCAGTTTACAGCTGCTGATAGGAGGTGGGAGGTGTTGGGACCCACATCCATTCTACACCTTGGGCTTTGTTGATATCTCGAGTTTGGCATCACGTCTGCCCGGCTGAATGGATTTTTGGTTTTTTGTCTTAGAGAACAGAATCGCACCGCGTTGAAAAATTCTTCCTCATTTCCCACTTCGCAGGAAGTCACGCTGCTGGATTTCTCTCTCACACAGCAGCAGCTATTTCACCAGCTTGCCTTGAATCCTTCTCCTCTCCCGTCTCCTTCTAACCCTTCTCATTGCACGATATCCATCTCACATGCAACCTTCTCGCATTCCTCACTCTTCTTTCTTGATACCAATCACTTTTGTCAATGAGCTACCCTTTTGTCTGCTTCTTGCAAAATTCCTCACCCTTCTCCCCCAGGAAGTGCGCCTTTCTGAAATTATTCCAGAGATACTCATAACTATCCGCACCTTCACCTTGCTTATCCAACTTACTGAGCTTTTCAAGCATTCACTTGAGGACTTCCAAGATTTCAAGCACAAGCAACTTTTTCAGTACGTCAAAGGTCTCGGGGCGCGAGACAGTCAAGCAATCTACGGACTCGCCAGAGCACTTCTACATTAGGAGCGTCATTGAAACAATTCGCCCTAGGTATCAAGTTTGTACCGCCCGTTCGGCATACTCACGTCGCTTCACCTTGACCTTTGGGAAAAGTTGACATTCCATCACTTGTTCAACGACTCTTTTTGACCGCTTTCCTTCTCCCTGTCAAGGCTTGAGTTTCCTGCGACATCACAGACGACAACAGAGGTTACTCGCGAACCGAATACTCTCGAACAGCAGCGACAACTGCCCTGCCTCATCGGCGATCTCTTTTGGAAGCACGATTCTACTGTTTCATCCCACTTCTTTCATCCTTGCCCTGAGACAATCCATCTCTTTCAGCAGAAAGCAGATCTCACGTCGCAAAAGATGTCTGACAATCAAGGGATCAAAGAGGTGAGATATCTTTGTCGCTCATTAATTTTAACATTGAGGGTATCATACTAACCTTGTCTAGCGACCTTCCAAGCGGTCTCTCACCCCGAACAAGGCCCTTTATGCTTCGTTCAATGAAGCTCATCGACACATTGCTCCTCCAACTCCCAAGATCCCCATTGAGTTCGATGGACAGCTAGGCGATGGAGAGCAGCTCACGGAGGAGCAAGTCGAAGACATTTTAAGTGCCTCGAACAATTCCTCTAGCCAGTTTCAAGACTCTAAGGGTCAGAAGGAGCCGAAGAGCCTCGAGCTACTTGCCGAGCCGAATGCATCTAGCCACCAGAGCAAGGTCGATAAGCAAACTTCGCCTTCTACTGTCGTGTCTCAAACTCAGACGACAGACCATGGTCCTCAAAGATCTTCCTCTCCATACCTGTCGGATGATGAGAACGCCTTCATTGATTATTCGAATTTGTCCTTACATGAGTTCAAGGAGCAGCATGACCGACAAGATTCCATCGATGATCCTTTCGACAGCCAGCATGCCGCCACTGAGTACCCAGATGCCTCCTCATTCTACCCAGAAGATGGTGATGACTACAGTCTAGCTTCCATTGACCACGGTTCCATGAACAAAATCAAGGTCGAGCCAAGGTCCTCGCCTATTTTGGCCTCTTCCCCTATTCTCTCGCCCCCAGTCGCAGCAAGTCCCTCATGGCATACCGAGGAAGCAGACCAATCTTCCCACATTGACGACGTCGTCAAGAAAGAGACTCCTTCTGGTTATTTCAACACAACTCACCTTTCTGGCTTGAACGGAACTCAGTATCCCATCTTTCTTGATCACGAAGCCTTACAGCCTGGCAACCAGAGCAACCACTTACCTATCTTCATCGATCGTGGTGTTCTACCCCCTCCCTCGATCCCTGCTGACCAGTCTGTCCCTACAGTCGAGCAAACATCAGAGTCTGACTCCGAGTATGATGGAGACGCCTCTGGCTATTCCGAAGATGAGGTCACCAACCTGGACAAAGGAAAGGCTCCAGTCAAGTTGTTGAACCCCTTCCATGCTTTCTCCAACGCATCGTCCCATGCTTCGGAGCACAATGTCGAGCAGTCTGAGCCTGGCAAAGAGAAGGTCTTTCTACGCCCTCATGCTGAGAAAGAAGTTTCTCGTGCGCTTCACCACGTCACTGGTCTCAGCCAGCCATCCAGTGGTCTCATCAGCCGTGTTCGTCATTCACACCTTCAGAATCCACGTCAGTCACCCTATCACAGCAGCTCTGATCAGCAAAAGAACGACTTCTACCATGCCCCAGCTATTCAGCCCGACTGGCAAATCACCCAATCCGGTATCAAGGTTCCTGTTCCTGTTCCAGCCCCATTCACCGGAGATGAGATTGGTATGCAAGCAACAGAGCCATACAACGCCATCGATCACACGCGCATGGCCACAGTCGCCTCAGAAGATGGAGAGGAGCGGACTGGCTTGGAGGGAGATGAAGACTGGCGAACTGTCACCGATGACCGCGAGTTCCCTACAGGCTTTGTGGGCAGAATCATGACTGGTAGCAGCATTGCCAACGTCTCAGATGCACTTCTGGTTCAGCGTCAACGACAGCATCCTGTCGCTCACCACACTACTTCCCACAAAGGCCGCGAGCCCTCCACCACCCGAGCGAGAGCATGGTGGGAGACGTCGACCCCTCTACCGTCGATCCCCTCTCGTTCTGCCTCTCCTTCCTATCTATCGCCTCCTGCGCGCGCACTGCAGAATAGACAGCGAAGACAAGACGGCTGGGAGGAGATCGAGCTCGATCCCATGCCAGCTCCCTATCCAGACTTCTCTTGGGATCGCGTCCGGAACCATCGAGCACAGGTTCATGAAGAGGCAGCCGAGCCCAGCCGCAACGAGTATGCCAACCTGCCGTTTCCCCTGGTCCCCCGTGAGGACGCAGCCAAGCTTCAAGCTTTCCGTCGCGCAAGCGGCCTCGAGGACCATACTCTTTCAGGACACATCATCTCCCCCGGCCGGCCTTATTCCTCAAACGGCGGTAGCCACGTCTATCCTCGCCTCGCCTTGAGAAAGAACTCTACAAGATCATTCTTCTCCCGCACCGAGAACCAAGGCATCGATCGCCGTACCATCTTCATTGGTAAGTATCCAGTCTCCGCATTTCTATGCATTACTACCCTCCCAATATCTACATAAAGCCCTCCCCTTCCCCCTCGCTCTCTTGCCTTCTTTCCTCTTCTTCTTCCCATAAACAACACTCTCCAAACCGAGGGTTGGTCACCCAATCTATAAACAACCAAAAAAAGACCTCGACTCCAAACCTCTCCCACCTCCTTCCAAGATCCCATTCGAATCTCTGTTCGAGTTTTGTTCGAAGAAAAAAGCTCGAAGATACTTCGGGGGGAGCAAGCCCCCCCGCTCGAAGCAAGTCCTTTGCTTTTCATTTTAGGCTCGCAGGAACTCGCTGACTAACCTCAACTGCTTCTAGATCGCCAACAGCACCCGTTTGGGCGGCCGACCCGCGAGTACTTCCCAACGCAGTACTCGTCGGTGTCGCGGCCCCAAACCACCACCGACCAGGCGAGGGCGAGGGAGAGAGTCTCCACCCCCAGCAAGATGGCAAACATCAGCCACCAAGCTGCGGCGGAGGCCCTCGCCATCGACCAGTCTGCGGGCCGCCGGGCCTCTCCCCACCTCTACTCCTCCGAGGTGATGGAGAGGTACCGTGCCCTCCAGGCCGTCCGTCAACTCGGCGGCCGGGGCACGGATACCGAGCTCGCGGACATGGCGGCGACCGTTCGGGACCAGAGCCCCCTCTCGCGGGGCGCGGTCCGCCGCCAGGCGGTCTTCTACTACGCGGTGATGGGGGCGACCCTGTTGCTGCCGTTCGTGGGGGCTGTCACCCTCGTCTGGTCGTGGGATCGGGTGTTGGCGGGCCTCACCGGCGGAGAGTGCACCGGCCTCTCGTTCCACCAGAGACGCAACCTGCGCATCATGCTGCTTGTCGGCATGGCGCTGTGGGTTGTGGCTTTCGTGGGGGGGTTGGTCGCGTTCCTCTCTCTGCGCGGTTGAGCGCCGAAGTGTGTCTACGGTCTTTTTTGTCGTTTGTACGAGCATGTAAGTTGCCCCTTTTCTTAGCACTCAATCTCCTCGTGAACAGGATTCTAATTTGGATAGCAGACTACGATACCACGAGAAGTGGGGGGTCCCTGCCTAAGGGCATACCTAGTTTTGCCAACGTCTTTTGCGGTTTTGTTTCTTTTTCTTTTGGGCGGGCGCGAGAAAAGATAGATGGAGGGCGGGGATTGTGTGGTGATGGCGATGGTGGGCGGCCGAGGGGGAGAAGAAGAACCCTGACTACAGGGGGGAAGGCGACACCATTAATACCATACGATCTCGTACCTCACCGAAGGCCTCGTAATACACATTCCGTCGATCCCATATCTCGTTTGACACCCTTCGTGACACATCTGCCCGTGAACAGCCTCATGAAGCGCCTCAACCAAGGAAGTTCGGTAACGTTAACAAGCCAGGTCAACAGCTGCGGCGCAACGAGCGATGAGATACAGCCTCTGGATCGTAACATCGATTAATCTTCGGTGGGCCTGTAGGCTGTAGTATGTAAAGCGGCGCTCTGGCATACCAGACACCACCTGCACAGGCAAGGGTCTCTTGTTTAATAGAAAGGCCGAGGCTCCGGGTCCTTGCTTGGGTTGGAACACAAACCTTGGACGCAGCTCTATCTCTCTCATCACGGAAGTTCCGAGGGTACCCGGTCTACTGGAGTTGATAATGCTTCGGGCTGGCTGCACCAAGTCGAACAACATTGACGATACCTTGCTTAGTCCAGCCGATTGAGCAAGGCTGTGGCAACCTCACGTGTCGAGTACATGCAAACGGCACAGAGCCCTCCGGAACCCGAGGTTAAGAACGTCAATAAAGAGGCTGTTCACGAAGGGTACGCAAGTGGGACAAGTTCTTAAATGTGCTCACTGTATTGTAGAAGCAACAACATGGTATCTAAACGCTCTAGCCGCCTTCAAAGGGGAAAGCCTACCCCTTTCGAGAGAACCACGCACTCAACCGCGACGGCGGGTGCTGGGACCCTTCTTGGCGGGCGTCGAAGTAGCCGACGAGGAACCGGTGGAAGGGGCAGCAGGGATGGGAACTTTCTGTTTGCCCTTGGCCTTCTTGGAGGGCGCGTTCCAATAGTACGCCATCTGGGACGCGAGGACGGCGTTGAGGAGGAAACCGGCAATGAAGTTGTACAGGATGAGCTTGTCGTCGACCTCCTGGAGTGTGGTGAAAATGCGGGAGAGGGAGCCGGCGAGGTAGTTGAAGACCTGTTGATTACACGTATTAGCACCTGAATCCTTTGAGGCTTCCCACACGGGGCGAGGAGCAATCGACTTACAGCGAATGCACTAAGCTGCCCGGTGCCGCCCTCGGACCAAATCGCCAGGATCTGGGGAACCTTGCTAGCGACGCTCAACACGCCCGCGCCAGCCTGCAGGTATCCCAACGTCTGCATATCGACCAAGCTCCCGGCAAACAGCGTTCCCAGTGCAACGGCCAACGCCGTCACAAACACGGCAGCCAGGCTCGCGCGGCCGGTATAGTTGAGCACCAAGACGGTGATGATGACATTTTGACCCATGATGAGCGCCGTCTCGCCGTAGGTGCTAAAGGGGAACTGGTTGCGGTAGTTGTAGGCCAGTGAGACGAGGTAAGAGGCCGTCTCGAGGAGGTACGACAGCACCGAGATGCCCTCGCCCGACTGCGACGAGGTGAGCTTGCGGATCTGCGGCAGCTTGACAATGCTCGAGACGCCGACGATGCCGAGGCCGATGCCCTTGGATAGGCCGAGCTTGATGCAGTCTACATCCTCAACGTTGATGTCCAGGAGGAGTGACTTGTAGCAGTGCTCGCCGATGATGGAGACGCCGAGGTCGCGGATCGGGGCCGGGAGGTTATGGGTGACAGGCTGGAGGGCGGAGCGGACGGCGTCCATGATTGCGGCTGGGGTGTCTGACGACGGGGAACACGGGACAAGCTTGTACTTGGTATTGGCTCAATCTATGCGTCGGCCGTCTTCGAATGTCGTGTCGTCAGGCTATATGGCAGAAGTTGCGACAAATTCACTGGGGAGAGCAGAGCAGTGAAGTGAAGAAAACAAAAAAAAAAGTCAGCAGATGTTGAGAGCCACCCGGCGGACACGTTGAAGGAAGGGTTGAGGTCACTGTGAACCCTGAGATGGAGGTAAGGGGGCAGTGAATTAAACCAGTCGGGGAATTTCAAGTGGAGAGCTTAGCTGCAGGAGCTGACCAATCTCAGGCCTGTGAAATCCTAGCTACACCACCCCACGCCATCCCTGCGCAGCACTGTCCGTCCGTCAAAGTCCCATTGAATCGCGAGTGAGCAGTTCCAAATTCGCCGTATGAACCAACTTGGGATATAATCGTCGGATTTTCGTCGGAAATTCCTCTGCATACCTTGTCGAAAGCTTCCTCTAAGCCGATGTCGTTTCCACTGAACGCCTAGAACCCATGAAACCCAAATGAACCCGAAATACCGATAAGTATCAGTAACGCCAGCAACAACCCGCCTATCTTGATGACGACAGAAAGCTATTCACTTCTTTCCCTTCTCCTTCTTTTGGGAAGCATTAAAACTCTTGATGAGAGCAGCGCACTTGCTTAAGTTTCCCTTTGGCTCCCATGTATTCTGGTTCGAGCTGTATCCCTTCCACTTCACCATGTACATCTGCACCTTGGTCTTGGGGTCAACGCGTGCGCCAACGATCCTCTCAACGACGTAGAATTCCTCAGAATAAGTAGGAGAACTCGAGGTGCCTTTTAAAGGGATCTTCCTCGTAGCTTTCTTGGGGCGAGCGACGCCTCGGCCGTATGTCGTCATGGCCTGTCAGGGTGTCAATCTCAATGCGGTCTTGAAGTTAGGCATGAAGGTACTGCTACCTTTTTCTCAGTAACTGCCTTCTCTACGGTAGAAGCACGAGTAGACCGACGAAGAGCAGTGGCTAACGTATCAGAGAGGTTAAAACGGGTAAAAGTAGGTGAAGACCACCAGAACGCAAGTGAATCCACTCTTAGACTTACCTTTGGTGACTGGTCCAGCGGGAATCGGTTTACCAGTAGGTTTCTTGGACTTGATCGAGACAGCGTTGGTAGTCTTTCTGGGACGACCGCGCCTTTTAGGAGCTTGCACCGGCGGAGGGGAAGCATCGTCTCTCTCAGTATCACTAGGACCGTGATCGTCGGGACCGTCTTCCTCATCAGAGTCGGAAGCATCCAGATGAAGTCCTTTCTTCGCAGCAGGCGCGGCTCTGTTCTCGATCGAGGCTCGGACACTCTGAGCAGACCCATCCAGAGGCTTTTGGCCTTCAAGCAACTTACGTCTCTTGCTAGCTTTGCTGGTGGCGGGTTGGCTGGACTGGCGCTTTCTGCTGGCCGACTTCTCGGAGGCACCAACAGGCTCGACCAAGTCGGACTCGATCTTCGGGATCAGGTCATCTTCGTCCTGATTCTCGGCGCCGTTCGCTTTGCTGTATAGACCTTGGCGTTAGTGAGGGAAACAACAGAGGCGCCGAAAACTCACGCTGCAGCCGAGGAGGCGGCAAGCTCGTTCTGGGTCATTGCAACCTCTCGGCCCCTGAAGACTAGTGGCACCGACATCGTAAATGGGGATGGTCGTGACGAGATTCTTGAGTAGGATACCTTGTCTAGAAAGAAAGTGGAATATAGCGAAGCTGTCCGGAAGGGTCAGAGTGAGAAACCCGTGCACCTTCGTCTATCTTGAGTTAGATAGCTTGGGTAGTGAAGGAAGGAGGAAGAAGCTCCTATCCACCCACCTATCCACCCAGTCTACTCAAGTTGGAAGTAGGGCGAGGTTGCCGAGTCGGAAAACCATTACCCAAGGAAAGAGCCTCAACGACCTGACTGAGCCGAGGAAGGTCCGAGGGGGGGGGGGGGGCAATCCAGAAAAGGAAGGCAGTTGCTTGGGAAAAAGATCCTCTCGGGCGATTTTGATGGAAGGTGGACGCATACCTACATCTCTTTCTTTTCCTCACACCAGGCCTGGGGTTCTAAGTTAATGTAAAGTAAGTCCGTCCGGTGAGCTGACCAGTTGAGCCACCTGGTAAGTGCTCGAGTTGGAATTCAAATCAGTAAATTGGATAATTCAAGCCAAAAGCTAACTAGCCACGGCGAACGGGCATATCGGTAGTACCCCAGCCTCGAGACAATTCCACTCGTACCTACAATTGTTTATTACCTCAACACCGTGCTTCAAAGGACCAGGATGCCAACAATGCACCGGAACCGTCCAGTCTTGGTCAGGTGTTTATTACTAGAAGGTACCTTGCCTGCGGGAGCGAGACGCAAGGGCGAACAAGAAGTCTGGGATGGGAACAAAGAAACCATCTTGAGGGATCTTTGTGAAAATATACTGAGCACGAGCAACTGTTCACTACTCACTGTCGTCTGACTAACGGGCGAAAGCAACTGAGATGTGCTCACCTCTCTCTCAACGCAGGTCTGGAAAATCGGGATCAAGTACAGCTCGCGCCTTTGCTTCTGAACTTTAATTCTACTAGGGGCGACCTTAACTTGACATGGCCAGGCCTGCTGGGGCGGAAAACGGTCTGGGAAAGCCTCAGGTAGGGTTGGATGGGAGTCACATCAGAAGGTAGAAATAAAGCCAGCCGGACCTTTGCTCATATCAATCCATCGCGGATTCAAGACCACCAAAAGTTGTTTCAAGCTAAGGTACCTTGAATGACTACGCCAATGCCTGATGCACGTATGCTATTCTTTGACAAGTTAAGCCTGTCCCTATGCTATGCTTCATCTTAATCGTCGAGCTCCTCCACTCGCTTATCTCCAAAATCATGAAGTTGTCCTGACCTCGCCGCCTGCTCCACGGGGTTCTGAATATCAACGACGCCTGTCTTCTTGAGCCTAATCATCTGTTAGCATGTGTCCGAGTCGTGGGGCAAGTGCCATCTTGCCTTTCAAACAGGACGTATAGTCTCTCTGCCTCTCTCTCTTTTTCTTCTTCTGTCATCTCCGGAAGTTCAACGTGTTTTTCCTTGTCAATGAACTGTCCCGTAATGGGATTGACAGGCCGCTGCTCCTCGCCCGTGCTGAACGCTTCAGCAGCACTGGCAGGAATGGGAATGTTTTTCTGGAACAGGAAGCCTGATGCAAAGCCGTAACCAACGTTCTCAACAAACTTTGAAGCATCCTGGTCTGACATGTCGAAGAGAAGATAGGAGATGGCCTCCCGAAGGTGGGGGGTCAGGGGGTTGGTAGAGTTGCGCAATAAGCGTGATGTCAATGAAGTACCGCGGCCAAGAACCTCCTTTCTATCCTGCTCAGTAGGAAGAAGTTTCTTCCTAATAGACGTCTTGGCAGCGTCAGGAGCGCCATCGTGCACACGCCGCAAGACACCTATCAGGGGCGTTACCAGCTGCTCCAGTTCATTATCGGGATATGCCTTTAGAGCCGCGTCTAGTATCTCAATAAAGCGATCCGCTACCTTTGCAGGTTCACTCTTCGGATAAAGAGCCCCCTGGACATCTTTGTCCTCTAACTTGAGATCCAGCAAAGCGTTGACAAGGGTATTGAATGGCGGGTCGAGCGGTTTGTTGGAGGGAATATCATGCTTCCAAAGTAGTGCAACGATGTGTGGAATGGCGCCTGTAAATGCCGCCACTTCGGAGGGGCAGAAATGCGAGACGTTGAAAAGTAGCTTCAAAGTCTCGTTGAGCGCCATGTCTTCCATGGGATCGGCTGATACATGGGTCTGAGAACTTCCCAGGCGGTTTTGGTGCTTGGAAAGATTCTCAATCACGATATCGGCCAACCTGTGTTTCTGAATCAGAGCAAGAAGATCGATTTTGGTTCCGTAGGTGGTGAGGAACAAGACCCTGGAGACAAGGAATTCATCGTCGAAGCTGTCATTCTTCAATCTCCTGCAAGCTTGGTCCTCGTAGCCAAGGTCAACAAATGTTTGGCGAGCCTGAGGATTCAATAGCATCGTGTTGGCCAAAACTCTTAAAGCTGCCCTTGCCGTAGAGTTTGACGGGCTTACGAAGGCATGTCTTGTGAGCATCTCGATACCCTGTAGTCTATTAGTATCAACAGCACTCGTAGGAGGCAGATGGGATGACCTCTGGTGTAAAGATAGGATCAGCGTTGGTAGGGTCCCGCCCATAGATCTTTAGCTCTTCAAGAGCAGCATCACGCTCTAAGATGTAATTTTAGCTGGATGACTGAGAGAAGTATTGCATCGTAGATCAAACTTACGATGAGGGAGCAGAGTGGGTTTTTTCAGGTCGTCTTCCAACTTCTTCATAAGAGCAGTGACAGCCTCAAGTTTTGCTGAAGAATTGTCAGCGAGACAACTTCATGGGCCTGGTCTGGATGGGCAACCTACCAGGGCCGGCCAGGTTGGCCTGCATGGCGAGGGGCTGTGACATGGTACGGCGGGCGGAGCTGTGCTTGTAGTCGGGATCGGCAACGGAGCGGAGCTTGGGCGAGCCCGGCCGAGCAAAGCTAGGGGCACTTGATTTGCGGCAGACCCTACGTTCCTTGACGCTCAGCATTCTCTTCAACTTGGATGCCATGATGGGCAGCACACTTCAGAAAGGAATGTGAGATGCAAAGACAAGATTGGATTACCTTTTGGGGATCACAAGATGGAAGATGTCCACTTCCTGCAGTGGCGAGAAAAGGATATGCGGTTCAACGGATGTGATTGTGGCACTCGATCTCGAATTCAAGTGGCTTGATGTCTGACCGACCTCGACGATTTCGGCCTACCTTAGGTTCGGTAGTGCATCCACCAAAAATAGCTGAATCTGTCCAGCTGCGATTCGTGTAGGTGATGTAAGTTTGCCAACACCCAGTCGGCCTTGTTCAATGTGCAAAGTAGAAGATATTGTTGATTTGTTGGTGTTGTCGTTTGTTAAAGTGAAGATGTGGCTGTAGTGGAATGTCGAGGTATCTGGCTGAGAAAGGGGAATGAGCCAGATGGAAGACTGACCGTGAGACACCAGCAATCCTTCCTTCCGTTCCTCCACCGTCGTTACACAAGAAGAGGGGCACTCGGTGGCCCGCCAGGCAGTTGGCAGTTGACGCGAGCGAGCAGACCGTGCACTTACGCAGTACGGGGTGCGCAAGCCACACCTGTGGCAGGAGTGCCTGTCTGACCTTACGTTAGTAAGCATCATGCTCGAAGCTCTGGGGCACTTTCCATGTTGCTACGGTGCGGAACGCTTCCATTTGGAGGGCACGGGGAAACTACGATGGATGCGAATTTGGAGACTGCGGTGGATGCCATTCATTCCACTGCCCCACTCTTCGACGGTCGGCGGCCCAACCCCCGGGCAACCAGGCAGCGCCAACGACGGGGGTACACGACATGCACGGGCCACTTGTTTAAGTGGTTTTCGCGCTCAACTCGCGTTTTTACGTGAAATCGTGGACGTGTTTAAGCATCCTCAAGCGCTAGCCAATTAACCAACCCGCTCCACCCTTATATCGAGAAGAGAAGGTCGTGCTGATGTGCAAAAAGTCGTGTACTTGCGCGAACTGGCTACGGATACCTGACCAGACAACCCCGGCCCCGTGTCCCAAGTCATACTCCGTAGTCGTCCGTACACGGCTTCGCTCCTTCGACCGTCTCCATACCTCACTCTCGTTTCCGCCGGAAAGCCCACCTCCTCCCGTCACTCTCTTCCATTTGCATAGTGAGCGAGATTTGTATATTGCCTTTGGTTTTACGCATACGCATCGTCATTTCCTTCGTTTTCCCTGCCTGGAGTCCAACGCACTTATGCGCCAGTCGACACAGAGCAGAGCTTGCCCGAGTCTGGTAATCCCTTCCCACTCGAAGGGAACCTCTTCGCAACCATGGGATCTGTTGAGGTTGTCTCGAGCCGACTAGAGTCGTTACCCCCTCGCCCACCGACACCACCTCGCGAGACCAGCCTGGCTGCCGATGCCACCACTTCGAAGCACCTCCTCGTCCTCCCTCCTTCCTCAGACCCTCGATCAAGTCTCCAGACTCCACCGAGCGTATACTCACCACTTTCCGGAGCTGACTCCACGAACCCGAGCGGACGAAGAGCAAGGAAACGTGTGGGCTTTTCTGCCCAGGCGCAATACAACGAAGCACCAAACTACCCAGGTCGAGCTGTTGCCAAATCCCGATCATCGCCCCTATCGGCGTCGTCCTCGACTCAGCCCAAACCTGTCAAGGGCATCCTCAAACAAACCTCTTCGCCGAGTCCCCTAAGTTCAAGTCTCAAGCCAGATAGCTTGACGACATCAGCAAACATATCAGACATGTTGGAGTCAACGGTGAAGCAGCTCGCCGGAGCAGACAGGGACTCGAAGCGGGATGCCTACACAACACTGGTCATGACGCTGAAGACGTCCAACAACCTCCCAGACCGAATCGCCCTTCAGTCTAAGATGGGCCTCTTCGTGCAGTTCATCCAACGAGACATCACCTCCAAGAATGCCACCAACGGAGGACCAGATGCGCCTCTTGTCAACAACGCTATTTCTCTTCTCGCTACTTTTTTGCATTTCCCCGCCATTGCCTCGACGATACCCAGCGATTTCGGCATTTTCTTTATAGATCACTGCATTCGATCCTTTGAGGA